TTGAGATCGGGCACCCCCTCGCCTGTTTATATAGAACACGCATGCCATATTGTACATACATATTCTGACATGGGTTCCAGTAGTGTAGGGGAGTAATTGCAGACATGCTAGTCGTACCGCTCTGAGTTCAAGGACATTCATGTGTAATATGCTTTCTGATGAGGTCCAGAAGCCCTGTGCCATAAGACCTTTCATATGTGCTCCCCACCCAGTGAGAGATGCGTTGGTGGTGATGACTACTGTGGGTTCTGAGCCTTGAAAGGGTATGCCTCTGCAGAGGTTGGACAATTTTGTGCACCACTGTAGTGATGTCTTTACGCGTGTGGAAGTGATAAGTATTCTGATCATCTGGTGGATGTGTGGCTTGTAGTTGAGTCAGAGCCAGCCCTGGATACACCTCATAAATAGGCATACACTGGGGACCACAGGATTTCACAATGCCATGTGACCTAGAAGGTGTAGGCAGTTGTGGACCATGACTGATGGCATCCCATGGAGGGAATGTGCTAATTGGCTGATGCGGATATATATATTTTCTTAACGCCCTCAAGTCAAGTTTGTGCAGAATAAAACTCCAGAAGCCGAATTCGGGGAGTCATGGCCTTTGCTATCATTTTTCCTCAGGCCTGTTTGGGGAGACTGGGTCAGGGGTGAGAGAGAGCTTTTACCATGTGTTTGGTTGTATGTGGTCTCTTTTTGTGTTGTTAAGGTCATTGGTTCCACAGGTGCCACTGTGGGGGGGTAAGACACTGGTGGTGGCATCCATGGATATGGAGCCCAGGGAGCCATTGGAGCTCTGGTAAGATCAGGCTAGATAGGATTAAATGACATTCCTGACACCTCTGTGCGTGGGGAAGCGGAGGTGAAAAAACATCTAAGTCGTCTTCCCCCTCCATTGATAGGGTGGTGGGTGATTCTGAATAATCAGAGAATGGAGAGTGACATTGTCTACCTGGACTCAAAATCGGAGAATTCAGTGTAGAGGAGATTGTCAAGTCCTTATGCTCCCTGTAAGTCATAATGAGAGTGTGTGGCAGAGAGCAGTGCTGCTGCTGAGAGTAATGCCTGCAGTGCTGTAGAAGCAGAGCACGCAGCATGTGGGGTTATCACGGACAACAGGCGGCAAGGGCAGTGCCATGCGGCTGCTCTGTCAGCTGCTACAGTGCCATAGCGAGTGCCTGCAGCACCGCTGTAATTGGTGTGTGATAATTGGCATCGTACTCGGTACCGCGCTGTTTGAGGCAGGCACGGTGTGGCCTGTTGCCTCTGTGAGGGTGCTCTGTGTAGCACTTTTCTGTTTAATGCACAGGTCAGCCAAGGTACCTGGGCCGTCAAATGTACTGAGGCAGTGTTTGTCGGAGTTATCCAACTGTTTGCCTGCAGAGCGCCTCTTAGGCGGTTGTTATGGCAGGGGCACTGGGGATTTATCCCTTTTGGCTGTGTGATTCTGACCAGAGCCAGGCTCAGAAGAAGGCTGTTTGCTCTTGTCCACAAGAATCATTTTCAGGTGGATCTCTTGAATTGTGAGCGCGCGCACTTTGAGCTTGGCACAATGTGGGCAATCTCGTTGTGAATGTGAGTGCCCAAAGCACTTAACACATTTGTCATGGCCATCTGAGGCTGGCATTGCATCACTGCAGAGTGCACAGCATTTAAAGTCAAGTGATCCCATGCCATGGCAATGTTCAGGGGAGCTGACTGGCGTGAGTGGAGGTGGGATGGTTTTTAGAGAAACACTAATAACTTGGGGTAAGACTTGGGTTTAAACTAACTAAAATTTCTTCCTAGAAGAGCTGAGGAGTGAAGAGCACTGGAGAGTTCTGTCTGAAGCTGGGGATGGTAGAAAGGAACTGAACGGAGGGTGGCCTCGCATGCCTGATGGCACAGGGGGGCCTGCGCGCACTGTGCACCACGCATGCGTGGCCCCAATGCACTGCTAGCAAAAATCCATCTAGAGGCACTGGGACGTGGGGGGGGGAGAAGAAGAGGGTGAGGCTCTCTCAAAAAACCAACACCCAATCTGGAGCACCCCCAGGGACGCCTCTTGAAGAAGAAGCAATTCTCAGATGCCTGGTCACTGGAAAGTGTCAAGCTAGCAGTCTCCCTCTATTGATGGCTCTACTTCCATAACTCAACTGCTTACAGACAAAGGGATAATTGAGCACTTCCTTGTTTGTTTACATAACATGCATGGCTGAAGTGTTGTCATCTGCAGAATAGAGATCCAAACAACAAGTAGGAAAACAGTGCAGGCTAGTCACATGTTAGTTACGACAAGTTCATAAGGAACTTCAGATGATTATAAGACCATTGCCTTGAATCTGAAGGTAGTCTGAGGCATCTGTCTGAGGCATCAGTGACCAGCTCTGCTGCTGAGGAGAATGAAGGAGTAACCCTTCTCTCAAATTCAGTCGCCACTATTCACACTCCAACAGGCATTATCCATTTGTTTGTATATTACCTGGACAGGAGTCGATGGTCCTTAGGTATTTTGGCAACTGCAAATGGATTCTGGCAAGCAAAAGTACATATGTGCACATGATCATACAGGCTAGGAGTCTCATGTACTTGTCTTAGCCAAACATAAGCACAACTGATAAAAGGTCCAGAATCTTTCCTCTGACACACACGCTTTTGCCTCTCTGGCATAAAGAAGAGTTCCTACAAACTCTCTTGCCAGTAGCAGTGTGAGGGAACATTTCTCATAGTTCACCAGGATACTGAGAGAAAGAACAGGGAACGCATACAATCGAAGGCTGTTTTGGTCTCCTCCCAAGACCATCCTCTGATCAGCGAACCATCCAGGTTCAGGTAGACAAATCTGTTTCCTTTCCAAAATGAAGTTTTAAAACAACACAACAAGAAATGTTCAGTGGAAGAGGTCATCAAGTCCAGCACCCTGTACCAAGGCAGGATCAAGTAAATCTAGACAATCTTTGACAAGTGTTTGTCCATCCTGTTCTTAAAATCCTCCACTGATGGGGATTCCACAACTTCCCTAGGAAGAATAGTCCAGAGCTTAACTACCATTTCAATTAGAAAGTTTTTCATAAAACCTAATCTTACTACCCCTTGCTACAGATTTAGCTCATTAGTTCTACATTCACTGGGCATGGAGAGCAACTGCTTCATAATAGTCCTTAACATATCTGAAGACTTATCAGGTCTCCTCTCAGTTTTCTTTCCTCAAAATTACACATGCCCAGTTTTTTAATCTTTCCTCAGGCCAGGTTTTCTAAAGTTTTTATCATTTTTGTTCCTTTCTTCTGGACTTTCTCCAGTTTATCATTTTCCCTAAACTCTCACACCCAGAACTGACACAAGACTCCATTAAGCACCTCACCAGTGCTGAACAGAGTGGGACAATTACCTCCATGTCTTTCAGAAAACCCATTCCATCACTCAGAGTGATATTAGCCTTTGTTGCAACACTGTTTACTTGTATTCAATTTATGATCCGCATCAACCCCCTGATCATTTTCAGCAATGCTACCACCTAGGCAGTCATTCCGCATTTTGTAGTTGTACATTTGATTTTTCCCTCCTAAATGAAGTACTTCGCATTTGTCTTTATTGAACTCTAAATCTTGTTTGATTTCGGACCAATTCAATAAGGTCATTTTGAATTTGAATTCTAATCCTCAAAGTTCTTGCAACTACTCCCGACTTGGTGTTTACCTGCAAATTTTATAAGCATAAACTTAACTCCATTAACCCAAATCATTAATGAAAACAGTGAACAGTAATGGACAGTCTCTAGAAACGACTTAGGTTTATATTAAGTATGATTTGGATAATCATTGTGGTTCTAGTACTTTTTACCTTGTTTTAATTATTTTCCTTTTGTGTGTTTCAATTAATAAATCTCTTAAGTTTGGTTTGAGTTTTATAGTATGTTTGTCATGGTACTAAACAGGCTGGAGGTCCCTATATGCCAATCCCCAGACCTTGTTTAACACTGGACAGTAATTGGATTGTGCCTCTATAGTGCATCTAAAATAATTCAACAGCTCTCACTAGCTCCTAAGAAGTAACACACTAGGAAAAGATACATACATAAGGGGATATGATAGTAAGGGGAGATATGATAGAGATCTATAAAATCATGACTGGTGTGGAAAAAATAAATAAGGAAAAGTTATTTACTTGTTCCCATAATACAAGAACTAGGGGTCACTAAATGAAATTAATGGGTAGCAGGTTTAAAACAAACAAAAGGAAGTTTTTCTTCACTCAGCGCACAATCAACCTGTGGAACTCCTTGCCAGAGGATGGTGTGAAGACCAGGATTTCAACAGAGTTCAAAAAAAGAGCTAGCTCAGTGTTTCTTAAACTGTGTTCCGTGTGCCGCGGAGAACAACAGAGTTCAAAGGGCCGCCCTTAAAGGGGAAGGAGACTTTTTTTAGCTCAACCTTCCCCCCAACTTTTTTTTTGTGTTCAACAAAAAATCCTTGGCGTTCTTCATAAAAAAAATTGTTTGGTGTTCTTCAGTCTTAAAAAGTTTAAGAGCTAGATAAATTCATGAAGGTTACGTCCATCAATGGCTATTAGCCAGGATGGGTAGGAATGGTGTGTCTAGCCTCTGTCTGGAAATGACAGGAATGACAGGAGAGGGATCACGTGATGATTACCTGCTCTGTTCACCCCCTCTGGGGCATCTGGCATTGGCCATTGTCAGCAGACACAATACTAGGCTAGACGGACCTCTGGTCTGACCCAGTATGGCCGTTTTTGTACAATGGGCTCTAGAATTTACCAGACATCTTTGTCTCACACACAGAAAAGAGTGGTTATTTATGGTTAACAGTAATTTTTAAGAGACTTCAAAAATTCTATTTTTTAAAAAGGAATTTTCGTGAACCATTCTAAGATCATACATATCACGATACTTCAGAAACAAGTTATTTCATGTGAATTTTAAAAAGTACTTTAAAACATACCTAAAGAAAATTTAAAATCTACTGGTTTACATCAATATACAATGTATAATAAAAACTTACCCTTTTTTCTATGTGAGGGTGCCAAATCTAAATCAACATTTCGTCTTCCACTCTAGATTTAAAAAATTAAGTTAGTTTAACTGTACAAGAAAAAAGTACCTCAAGATTTAGCTTTGTTAAAAATCTTCAGTGCTAAGTGAATTGAGATAAAGCAAACTATGTTAATTAATATATATATATATAAACAATTTGAGTTTAAAGAACATGACAGAACATAGCACATTACAGAAGAAATAATAGCTGTAACTAAAAGAAAGACTCTTAGCGAAACTTCATGATCCACATGAATACATTACCCTAGGTGACATGTAAATCTAAAATCATGTTCTCCAGAATATTCCAGTTCTTCATGTAACAACATTTCTAAGGCTTTGCGTGGGGGGTGGGGGAGGGACTATGTACATAGTTTTAGCTGTATAAATGTCACTGCTGATGATGAACAACAGAATCAAACTAATCCATAATCATTTTAAAGTTAACTTTTCTGCAATCATTCATTTCTCCAATAGCAATGCATGTGGTTAGCTGTGGTTTCCTCTGTATATTCACAATGCTTCCAAGAAAAATGGCACATTTAAGAGATCTTTCATAGCTGAAAAAATATAGATATAGATCAAAACTGTGTAAAATATCAAGTCAGTTTTACCTACCAATGAATAACCTTCTTCATCTGATTCTGGCTGAGATAAATCAGATTCACTCCTTGATTTGATCAACCTATAGTTTGAACTAGTGTGGACTGAGCGACTCTCTGCAGTAAGACTTTCACTCCTGTCTCACAAAACACACACACAAAAAGAGAAAATTATTCACAAATGTTCTTTGTAGAATACAAAACTAAAGTAAATTAAGCAGCATAGAATGTTGTACAAAGTCTCTGCTACAAATATTAGTTTCAAACTATAATCTTCAAAAATTAACCTTTGTATTTTGAACATTAACAAGTGTTTCAGTAGCTGAGTTAGTCTGTAACAGGAAAAACTTAAAAAACAATGAAGAGACTGGCAGTACCTTAAAGACTAACAAAACATGTAGATGAGCTTTCGTGGGTACAACCCACTTCTTCAGATGACTGGACTATTAAAGTCCAGATCCAAGAATAAAAATAAGGGAAGGCAAGAGGTGGGGGGAGGGGGAAAAGAGTAAAAAGAAAAAAAAAAGAGAAAAATAGTGTTCAAGTTACAAGAGGCTGATAAAAACAATTTGCACCTCTATTAAGTGCCCATTGTTTGGTTGGTCGGTTAAATGATTGGGATGTGGGAGCCGATGTGCGAGCCAGATGATATCTTTATTCATTTCTCTCTGATAAGAATCAAAATTGTAAATGAAGTTAAGTTCTAACCATTCCCTGTGTATGTGGCTTATGGAATTGGCAAGAAACAACACTAACTTTGAGAGCCATTAATGACATTGTCAGCAACAGCTGCAAAAACAATTCTATCATCATAATCAAAAAGGCTGGTGAAGGGGTGCTATAGTCATCATGAACAGAACAGATTACGAACAGGAGATGACTAGACAACTCACCAACACTAGATTCTACAAGCTTCTCTCCTCTGATCCCACTAAGGAAAAAAAACACCCTAAAACAACTGCTCGTGAAGCTCCCTGTTACTGCTCAGGATCAAGTTCACCACAACCAGGAGTTTTCTATCTGCTACCCAAGATACACAAACCTGGAAATCCAAGATGACCCATCATCTCAAGCACTGGCACACTTACAATTACCTGGCTATATTAACTCTCTCCTCAGACCCTATGGAACCAGCACTCATAGCTATCTTCGACACAGCACCAATTTCCTGAGAAAACTACAAAACATCAGTAAACTTCCTGGAAACACCATCCTGGCCACCATGGACGTAGAAGCTCTTTACACCAACATTCCATATGAAGACGGATTACAGGCCATCAGGAACACTATCTCCGATGACACCACTGCACACCTGGTTACAGAGCTCTGCGACTTTGTCCTCACCCACAACTATTTCTGATTTGGAGACTATTTGTGTCTTCAAGTCAGCAGCACAGCTATGAGCACCAGCATGGCTCCACAATATGCCAACATCTTTATGGCTGACCTTGAATGTTTCCTTAGCTCTTGCCCCTAGTACCCTTACTCTACTTATGCTACATTGATGACATCTTCATCATATGAACCCATAGGAAAGAGACTCTTGAATTTCACAGGGATTTCAACAACTTCCACCCTCACCATCAACCTCAGCCTGGTTCAGTCCAAGCAACACACCTACATCATAATCATCCAGGAGTCCACCTCTAAAATCAGCCCCGGTGCGAATTCCGTCCACACATCTACATAAGTGATTTCATCACTGGACTCGTGACTAGACAACTCACCAACACTAGATTCTACAAGCTTCTCTCCTCTGATCCCACTAAGGAAAAAAAACACCCTAAAACAACTGCTCGTGAAGCTCCCTGTTACTGCTCAGGATCAAGTTAACATCCCCCCTAATCCCTGACCAGGAGTTTTCTATCTGCTACCCAAGATACACGAATCTGGAAATCCTGGATGATTCATCATCTCAAGCATTGGCACACTTACTACAGGATTATCTAGCTATTTTGACTCTCTCCTCAGACCCTATGCCAGCAGCACTCCTAGCTACCTCCACGACACCACCGACTCCCTGAGGAAACTACAAAACATCAGTAAACTACCCGAATATACCATCCTGGCCACCATGGACACAGAAGCCCTGTACACCAACATTCTACATGAAGACGGATTACAGGCCATCAGGAACACTATCTCCGATGACACCACTGCACACCTGGTTACAGAGCTCTGCGACTTTGTCCTCACCCACAACTATTTCTGATTTGGAGACGATTTGTGTCTTCAAGTCAGTAGCACAGCTATGAGCACCAGCATGGCTCCACAATATGCCAACATCTTTATGGCTGACCTTGAATGTTTCCTTAGCTCTTGCCCCTAGTACCCTTACTCTACTTATGCTACATTGATGACATCTTCATCATATGAACCCATGGAAAAAAGACTCTTGAATTTCAAAAGGATTTCAACAACCTCAGCCTGGTTCAGTCCAAGCAACACACCTACATCATAATCATCCAGGAGTCCACCTCTAAAATCAGCCCCGGTGCGAATTCCGTCCACACATCTACATAAGTGATTTCATCACTGGACTCAACCACATCAGCCATCACATCAGGGGCTAATTTAACTGCACATCCACTACTGTGATCTATGCCATCAAATGTCAGCAATGCCCCACTGCCATGTATATTGGCCAACCTGGACAATCTCTCTGGGAAAAAAATAATGGACACAAATCAGATCTCCGAAAAGGCAACACGCAGAAACCTATTGGAGAATACGTTAACCTGCCTCATCACCCATTAATGGATCTTAGAGTCACAGTGTTGTTTCAGGCGAATTCCACAAGGCAAATACACAGGGAAGGGTTGGGACTTAAGAATCAAACTTGTAAATGAAGTTATCAGAGAGGAATGAATACAGATATCGGCTGGCTTGCACACCATCTTCCACATCCTAATGACCAGGGCTCGACAATCTATTGAATCTACTCACCCGTGGCGAGTAGATTACATCCCGGAAGAGCCGGGTTTGGGCGATCTGCGCATGCACAGAACACCGGACAGTGTGGCTGGTGAGCGCGGCTTGGCAAGCCCTGCTAATGATAATGACTTTAACCAAACAATGGGCACTTATTGAGGTGCAAATTGTTCTTATCAGCCTTTTGTAACTTGAACAATCCAATTCACTATTTTTCTCTTTTTTTTTTTTTCCTTTTTCCTCCTTTTTTATCTCCGCCTTCCCTTATTTATTCTTGGATCTGGACTTCTAATACTCGAGTCATCTGAAGAAGTGGGTTGTATCCACAAAAGCTGATGGTACCATTTACATGTTTTGTTAGTTTTTAAGGTGCAGCTAGACTATTAGTTGTTTAAGTTTTTCCATTAACAAGTGTGTATGCTATATACCTATACTGCCACTAACGTTTATATCAGACAAAAGTAAGCACAGAGTCAAATACTGATTTATCTGACAACTCAGCTTTATTTGGGAGAAGCCTAACTAGGACCGACTCAAGACCAACAGGGGATATGATGACCATATTTCTCTATACTGAATATGGGACACCTGATAAAGTTACTCATATTCAAGCCGACCATATTTCTCTATATTGAATATGGGACACCTGATAAAGTTACTCATATTCAAGCGAGTTCAATGGCAATCATTCAAGTTAACATCTAGTTGATTGAGCTCCTATTAAAAAGAAATACTGAGAAGCTGGAGTCTTTTTATATATACCTTAGGATTTGCATGGAGGGAAGTGACATGCACACATTCTTCTACACTTTTATATGGAGATGGAGGTGACTGACTAATCTGACCCAGCCCTCCCTAACCAATGCACTCCACCCTCCATGTCTGGCTGGGCTCCCAGGACAAACATGCCTCCCCTAGTACCTGGGGCCAATGTCTTTTCAAGGCAACATTGGGGG